TCATAAGATGTTAAAATGAAGTCTGGTTGATATTTAAGAATAACATTTATTCATTGCTTACAAAATTATTCAGTTAAATGAGAATTTAAAAAGTGGTCCCAGACAGAGCTGGGATAATAGTGGATTAATATCTATAAATCAATCTGAAGGATTAGTTCTTTACCATCATCAAAGTGATAACATGAGAGAGGATTTCTGTGCATTTCACAGTATTGTACTTAATACTGAATCAACCCAGAAATTAATAAGCGCTTAAGCTTAAAGTCAATAAAGACAAATATTTTTAACCAATACTGTATCAATGAGAACTTTGTGGTCTAAGGAGAAATTAATTTGTTGCAGAGTTTTTGTAATTCAGCCTCATTGAAGGTTTTTAGAGAATAATAAATCTGTACAGGTGATGACTCAAAATTTCAGGGAATTTTTAGCCCAGACTTTGACTCGGCCACTTTTTTACCCAACAAGGGGTGAAATTCTTCTTTATTCTACTGCCTAACCCATGTTTTCTTCAGTTTAAGGTTGGGAACCCATGGCTGGACAGTTTTCTTCAGGATAATTTTAGACATAGTTGAATGCTCCATGAGGTGCTCAAGCAGCAAAAGCAGCTCTTTTCATCATACTGTTCCCTCCGTGTTAGACTACACATTCGATGTTCCTATGCCGACAGTAAAACCTACACTCTCAGACATCTACTTTCCAAAAAGCTCTTTCTACAGGGTTCTTAGGGAACACCAAGATGTTTCTTATTAAATGTCAAACATCTGTTTCCTTTTTTGAGCAGTGATTTTGGGGTTTAAATTCAATTCAGTTTAAATAATTTATATAGCCCCTATTCACAACGCATGTCATCTCAAGGCACTTTACAGAGACAATTCAACCAGATCATCCAGTCACATTGATTTAAAGTTTTCTATGTAAAGAAAACTAGTTGATTGTATCAACTCATTGACTTGAAGTCAATCCCTCACACTAAGCATGCTTGTAGCGACAGTGGAGAGGAAAAACTCCCTTTTAAAAGGAAGAAACCTCCAGCAGAACCAGGCTCAGTGTGA